GGGTGAATAACTGAGATTTTGACTTGTTGGTTTAAAATAGATTTTATATCCCAAAGATGTTCAGCAATAAGCTTGCTTTTAGTCATTTAAAACTAATCAAAAGTATTTAGTGGCTATGTTGAAAATTCACTCAAAGCTCTTGTGTAATGGGAGGAGAATTCCCAGCTCAGAGCAAGGCGTGATTCCTGGTGTTTCCCCTAGATTTCGATCTTGGATTTCTTCTTAATACTCAGTGAACGACAGGCATAAGTGGGGTGGAGCTGGGAATGGTTTGAAGCCCTGGCTGGAAGGACTGCCAAGAGATCAAAGCAGCTGCTTTGATTTCTGCTCCTCCCGGACCAAAGCAGTGGCTTCTTCTCCAGGGAGGAGGAGTTGGTGACCATCCAGGGAACCTTGTCTAACTGCAGTACCATTCAGGGCAACGTCAGGGCCGGAGAGGTGCAGACAGCACCATGAGGGAACGGACAGAGAAGTGCGGAAGCGGGGACAGCCCATGTCTTCAGGTTACTTTGCGATTAAGTCTCAGGGTTGGCCACATTCAGTTCCTCTCAGCATGTGTGAAATCCCCCGGAAAGTGTGGCGGATTTTCCTGATTTGGTTTGATTCTCTTCTGAACAACTCAGTCATCTGTGGTCAGTGGCAAGGAGCCCTGGCTTTGCTGTAGGGGGTTTGGCTGACCCAGGGCTTGGGGCCCTCCCCTACGCCTGGACAGACACACGCTCTGCCACCCAGACATACAGACCATCCATCGGGGTGGTGGCAGGGTGAGAGGACAGTGGGAGGAAGAGGCGGGTGTGAGCACCAGCAATCAACAGACAGACAAATCCTCTTTGAGGAAGATCAACAGAAGCTTGTTGTATGGAGTAGAAATTCAGAAACCCTGGAAACCTTGAGAAGAAGAGAGAGAGCATCCACCCCAGGCTCTGTTCAAATTCTAGCCCCAAGTATCACTCAGCTTCTCAGTTCCCACCTTCTGAACAGTAAAATTAAACTAAGCCCCTTGTCTCGAAGGGCTTTGTGAGAACTCAATGAGATAAAGTACAAGAAAGTACTTTGGGAAGCTTAAGAAAATGGTACACATACTCAAGGTCTTTTAGAAAAAGCACAGGGCCATGTCTGATGGCTTGTAGAGGATCTCGTTTAAAGAACAAGTGATGATAAAGCCCAGAGGTCAGAGTGGTTAACAGGGTGAGCAGGAATAAGAAGATGATTAACTTGGTTTACAAGAGGAAGGGCACAGGCTCGGGAACATGATACCCAGGAAACGCAGCTCCAAGCGGGCAGCCCTCCAGTTACAAATGTGGGGCTCAGATGTCTGAGAATACTGTACAGAGGCTGCGCTTTGGGGCCAAAGAGAATGCGAAGGCTGCCAGTGTGAATACTGGCAGCATGCCAGGAAGGGAAGCAGAGAAGGGAGGGCGGTTGTCTCAAGGGCCATGAAGGACAGAAGATTCCTTCCTGAGCCTTGCAGGACCTCATCCTGAGCAGGCACTGAAACTGATTTGATGGGTGCCTAGCTGCCCAAGGCAGCCTAAGAACAAGTAAGAGCTTATTTAACTATCTCCAAAGTAATTCTTCAGGAAGAGAGAGCATAGTCACTGTGCTGGATCAGAAGGGTAGCAAGCAGCACAGCCAGGACCTAGACTAGGGCACAACATGACCCACCATGAGGAAGAACAAAGAGCGAGTTTTTAAGAGATAATTTCCAGAGCTATGATGAGACTGCATGTCATACCCTTAGTCTAAAGATGTGGCTTAGTGGCTTAGTCTGCCATGGCCCCATGCTAAAGGGTGAGCCAACACTCAGGTTTATTTTGTTGCTGGAAGTAAGCAACCTGCGCCTCCCAGGCTCTGAGAAAGTGCCAGTGACTGGGAACTTTGTGGACATCTCTGGGCTCAGAGGCAGATGAGGAAGCCATCCCCCTTGAGTGTCCCACAAGGCCACAAAGCCACTACTGAGGGGAGGCACCATGTTTTCCTATGAAGCCCACAGCACCAGCCACACGAGCTCAACTAGAGCTGCCCAAGAGAGGAAGGGGTTGTCCATGGGAGAGGCCCAGGGTCTTCCCAGATTGGAAGTCAAGGACACCAGGTGGCTTTGCTGTATCCCAAGGGGGCCAACTCTCTCCAGGCTGGCTGCACCTGTGTGGCCCACTTTGAGGGCTGAAAAGCAATGGGTTGGCAGCCCGAGCGAGAAGGGCCACAGAGAAGAAGCAGAGGGTAGGGTTTGCTTGCTAAAGGGAATGATCTGAGAACTAAAGATGACGCAGTAGCACTACAACAGCAATAATGGAGGCCACTACAGTTATTAAGTCCCTGTTGTGCACCGCGGGTACCATTAATAAATAGTATCTTAGCTACTGTTATCTTAGTTAACCCAGAGCAACCTTCTCAGCACAGCCTGCTTATCCTGACTTCCCAAGCCTGAGGACTGGGTTCAAGGATTTGAGCTGCCTGTCCAAGTCCAAGGGTCAGTGACCTGTGCTCCAGCTTGGTCCTTTCCAAAGCCCACGCCCTCACTGCACTGTGCCACGGGTCTTACCTGACCCAGGAGAAGAGGCCGCAGCATCTGTGCAGGGAGAGGCTTCAACCAGCGCTCAGATCCTTAAGCTGGGCTCAGGGCTTCGAGAACCCTTGAAGGGGCTTTGCTGTATCATCGCCACTGTGAGGCTCATTGCCACCAGAGCTGAAGTCAACAGTGACAGAGAACTCTCGGGCTCCAAAGGGCCCTTGCCGTGGCAGAACAGTGCTGACACTTAGCAAGTCCTTTATTTTGCTGAACCAAATTCCTGTTTCTCCCCCCGTATGTTGGAGACAGCAGATTGGATGGTCAGACCTCCATTCCACCCTGGGGGGCGGGCATCTGGCTGAGGGATGTGTTGGTGCCTGTCCCCTCCTCAGCGTGTTGTGAGAAGGTTCCAAGAAGCACAGCCATAGCACCAGCTCAGCTGGCTGTGAGGCGCTGCTCCACCACTTATGCTAGCTGTGTGACTGCACACGTGCTTCTTAAGCTCTCTGTTCAGTTTTCTCATCAGCAAAATTGGGACAACAAAATTTGCTATTTGGGGATGTCGTCAGACTAAAGATGGTGAGCATAAAGCTCTTGATGAACAGTAAAAGGTAACAGCCACTATTAAAATGAAGACCTGGCTTTGGGGTCAGGGATCCGAGTTCCAGTCTAACCAGGGGACACACTGCAGCCTGGTGACCTTGGGTGAGTGGTGTGGTTTGGCTGAGACTCTCTCCACATCTGCGAAGTCTGTGTTCCCACGGTGCCTAACCTGAGGGCTGTCATGAGGTTTCCATGGCATGCCCGGCGTCTGACGGGGGCTGCGCTACAAATGTGTTCACTTCATTGACGACGAGATTGCATTATTCTGCCCCATGAGTGTCATCTTGCTGTCAGATGTGTATCCCTATGTCCAAGTTATTTGTCTCTGCCAGTGTAGATTAAAATGTGTGGTATCCAGTATCTTGTTGGGGACGATACAGCGAAGCAGCATGGAGCTAAA